AAAAACAATTGTAGAAGCTGATTTTCTTATTCATCAGAGAGTCAATCTTTATACACGATGCAGAGCTAGGGTATTACAAGAGAGAATCAATTAGAGGTAATGAGTGAATATTAACTATACATATTTGGATTATTGACTTATTTAATCATGGATATGATTATATCCTTATATCTCTCCCATGAACAGGATCAAAATCTCGTATGACCCTTAAAATAAAGTTGAAATAACAAAAGCCCCCTAATATTAAGGATTTATTGTGTTGTTTTTTTAAGTCAAAACTGACGTAAAGGACAAAAAAACCAGACAAATTCTTTTTAATTACTGATCCAACCACTTGATATCCACCCAGATCCGATTTTTATCCAACCCAATTAGATCAATTACAAAATTTAATTTTTAATTAAGTTAGAGATCTGAGATTTTTTTTTTTTATTTCTTCGCGATCTTCATCATGTTCTTCTTCAAACTAGGATCTAATCCTTTAGTTTCTTTCAAAATTATCTTCATATGCTTCTATATCTTTCCAATGGCGTCCTTGCCCAAATCGTCAATGATTTTTCCGCCAATTTCGAGCCACACTATCACAAAATTGGATACGAACGGACAATCATGTACAAGCCATCGGCTCTAAAAGCGGTGACCGTGACTTGCAGGGATTATGGCCATTCATAAGAGAACTCGTGGGTCTATGGAAACTTTATGGGATGAGATAGATTTTGGATTCTTCAGTAGTTACATAGATTTTAATTCTATAAAAGTCGTCGAGTTTGATCTCAAGCTTTCTCATGATTGACACCTCCTCTGGTGGTTTAAATCTCTTTAAAATCGTTGATGTCATCTAGTTCAACGGTTACAATTACTAAATTGAAAATTCCATGAATCTAAAAATTGAACTAGATTTACTGGGTACAACTGTGAAATATTGGGTACAACTGTGAACATATGTACAACTAGAACTATTGGGTTCAACTAACTAACAAAATCAATGAAACATAAATTGACAAAAATAATTAGTTTTAAAATAAATAAATTCTAACACATGGTGCGGCAAAAAATATATATATATTTGAAAAAAATATAAAAAGTAATTTTAGATATTTGAATTAAAAAAATTAATTTCAAAATAAGATAATAAATAAAATTGGACAAATCCCAATCAAATTAGGACATTTTACGTCGTTTCCTGGACATATTTAACACATGTGCACTTTTATCTGCCACATAATTAAGATATGTGCCCGCTATGTAGCACCATAGTTGTACCTAGTTTTTTAGTTGTGCACATTGTTAATAGTTATACTTTTGGGGTTTCGTTATTTTTGTAGTTTTACCCTGTTATGAAAAAAAAAATTTCAGTTGTACATGTGATTTTTGGAATTAGAAACACATTTTTTATGTTTCCATGTAATATGTGAAAGACAACATTTCCTATCAATTTTTGCATAAGAAAGTATATAGCATTATGAAACCTCTCTCAAAAGTATAAGGTGATTGATGGAAGATTTAAAATATGAAATTGCATAAATCGATTATTTTTAAAATGTCAATTATAGAGAAATAAAATAACTGATATTGTGTTTTTACAAAGAAATTTTTAAACAGAAAAATAAATATTTATGATTTTTAATACTAAATACTACTTATTATATGATTTGAAATATACTTTTTACTAGTAAAATATTTTTGTTGCCAAAAAATCAATTTAAAAAAAATATTCATTCGTCTATTAAATTACTATTTGTTGTTGACAAGGTATACAATTTTTTTACACAAAAATTAAAATAGTAACCAAATGAAATTGTATATACGTCTTAGTTGTACCAATACAATTACCCAGTAGTACCCAGAGATCTACTAATCATCAACGATTCTTTACGATTCAACCACTGTGGGATGTTACGTTACTTATTCAATGCAATGTTCTAATCGACTCATATACTATCTATTGCAAATGTGCATACGAGATAAATAATTGTCCAAATCCAATTGAAACCTAAATTATTATTACTCAAATTCTTGTTTCGAACAAAGAAAATTGATTAATAAACTAACAACTAGTTCGATTTAAGCTAAAAACGCATGCCAACTTAGCTTTTACTTCAACTAAGGTGCTTCAATGGTGGATTCGAATTTAGCTTGATAGCATCTATGGAGGAGGAGTCGCGAACAAGAAAAAGAGAAAGGTGAATAACTTTGATTGGTCAATTTTTAATTTTCTTTTTAATTTTTTTTTTTAATTGTTGGCTTGGATTTTTTGGTCTTTTCTTTTTTCATTAAAGGTTATGGGGTTATATGGAGTTATTTGTTGGTGTTGTGGTTAGGTATTTAGAGAAAGGGTTTTATAAGGTTTTGATCCAATTCAGATTCGTTTTGATACAGGGGCATTTTTGTCACTAAAAATTCAGAT